AGCAGGCGTGGAAAGCACTTACACAGGCCACATGTCCCCAGGAGAGAGAATGACAGTTTTCCCACGGGACCTGGGACCCTTGAGATCCAGAACTTTGGGAGGGTGATTTAGGCTAAGAGAACCGACTTGATGAATCAGTAGAGAAGCCAGGGGAAAAAGAAGGGTTTCTCTGGATTAAGAGCTTTAAGAGGAATGATTCATGATCGTTGTGGCTGACATTTAAAAAGCCCCGAATACTTTTGGTAACCACTGTGCCATTTTGCATTCTGCCTCATATTTATCCTGGGAATGAGGCAGCCCTCAGTTGCTCTGGGGTTCATCACATTTCACTTTCTGCTTCTCAAGCATCAGTGATGCCTGGCTCCTCAGTTTCCCATATGTAACCTATTATTGCCAAACTTATTTTCACAAAGGGTCTTGCCCAGTAGAGGCAAGTCGGGCTTTGGTGTTAGAGAAGGAACAGTTTGCAACCTGGTTCTGCCATCTGCTATCTGTGTGACCTAGGACAAGTTACTTAACCTCTCTGAGCCTCCGTTTCCTCTCCAATAAAGTGAGAATAATGCCACCTTCACGGGGCTTTGGGTAGATGTAGATGGGGATGTTTCTAAGCTATGGTGGATGGTGGAAGGGGTGGGAAATAGCTCATGTGTTGTGGAGGAGATGGGGAAGCCACAGGGACCCCATCTGCCCAGGGGTGCGTGTGAACCTGATTCCCCAAGAGAAAGTCCGTGGACAAGAGCCAGCAGGGCTCCTGGCCCAGAAATAAACTGCAAGATGCAGGGCACAGTGTGGCTTGGCTGTGTGTGTGTGTGTGTGTGTGTGTGTGTGTGTGTGTGTCTGTATGTATATGGGGAGAGTGTGTGATAGTACATGTGTAGGGTGGCCAACCAGCCTTGTTTGCCTGGAACATGCATTTATTAAAGACTTGGGAGTAATAAGAGGAATAAAGATAAGGAGGCTTATGAATCTGGAGATGACCAGGACAGACCTTACATCTGGAACTCCTAGATCCCCCTTATCCACGGGTGGAGGTGTCCAGGGATTGCCCCTTCCCAGTCATCCAGCCTCCGCGGGAGCTGGGCATTCATTTCCCCACATCCCTTCTGGAGCTGGGGTAGAGTGAAAGGGTGCAGACCTTTTGACCAAATAATTCAACTTTTAGGAGTCCATCCTACAGAAAAAGCTATGTTCAAGGGTGTTCACTGCAGCCCTATTTGTGATATTGTAATAGCCGTACGCACGCGTGTGTGTGTGTGATAATGTTTAATATAGAAACATATCTGAAAACATATGGTCCCAACTGTTAACAATAGTTACCTTTAGGGAAGGAACAGAGTGAGGAAGGAAAAGAGACTTTCCTTTTCCTCTGCGCACTTGATTTACTCCTGTTTGGTGTGATTTTTCCAGCATGTATGCATGTGTAAATTACAGATGTGTAATTTAAAAATAATTTTTAAAAAATCACATCCTATGAAGTTTTGAAAGAGAAATAAACCTGATGGAGTCTGATGCCATAGATTCTCAGGGGTATTGATCCTTATGGTGATTCCATTTCCTCCCGAGGTTTCCCGCGGTCTGGGGGCGGCCCCGAGGAGAGCGATATTGACCCGCCCAGGAGAAGGTGGTGAGCTAAGGTACAGGGGTCAGGCATTTGACATCATAGCCCATTTAGTCCCTCTGAGGTAGATCCCGCTAGTCCCGGGAGGTCAGGGGAGGAGAGCCCGCAGGGCCGGCGTTCAGACGGCGGCGGGGTGCAGCTCCCTCCAGCCCAGGCTAACGGGGAGTGCTGGGGAAGGGAAGGGAAGGCACTGGAAGCCTGCAGGGCGGACTTTGGACTTTGCGTGGCTGACCCCTGGGTGGAAGAAAAGAGAACTGGCCTATAAGGGATAAGCTTTAGTGAAAGAGGCGTGAAAACAGCAGATTTGGATTTTAGATGAACAAAGCTGCGCAGGACCCCACACATCTCCTTGTCTCTAATAAACGTTAGGCTGGCCCTGAGGCCATTCTCAGGGAATGGACGCATAGTGCAGGGGGCTGGGCCCAGGCTGGTGTCTGTCTCTTGGTTTGTCTCCTTTCCTGCTTCATTGACCTCATGCCTGAGTCTTAGGAGTAGACATTCAACTAGACTCTGAGCCTTGTGGGGGCTGTGCAGCTCTGTGGGGGTGGGGGGCCCTGCACTCAGGTGGAATAGATTGTGGGTGGTAGTAGAGTGTGTTCTGCTGGGAGCCGTAGAACTTCCAGGTGCCCACATGGCTGGCATGGGGGAGGGGTGCCTCTCCTCTAGCAAGACTGGGATTGTTCATGAGCTCCTGAGACCTCTAAGTGGTGGGATTCTTCAGGGCCCTGGGAATCCTGGCTTAGCCGGTGGGTGGCATATGCCAGTGAAGTTTGGGTTACTTCTGTCAATGTGACCCCTTTTTGGGGCTACCATCACCGAGGCTGGGAAAATTGGTTGAAAGGTATTCAGGGACTCAAGGTGCAGTTAAGGGCATGGTAGAGCTGCTGTTAGTTGCTTGAAGGTAAGATGGGTGTGTGTGTGTGTGACTTCCTGGTGTGTTCCAGACTGAGTTCCTGGGTGTGGAAAAAAGGGGGGTGGGTTGCTGTGACCCAGAAGCAGGCAGATGAGTCCTACCTTTCCTGTCTGCTTCTGCATAGTTCTTAGCTTTAGGTTTCTAAGTGTAGAGGCCCCAAATTGCAGAGCTGGAAATCTATCCAGCAGTTCTCTAGGAACAGAGAGGGTGACCAGCTTAGCCTGGTACAGGGCAGCTTAGGGTAGCAGCGAGACCCCAGTGGGGAAAATCATTCCCACCCCCCCACCCCCCAGTCAGCACAGAGCTCGAGGATTTCCGAGATTAGGCCGGAACACCGACGGCCTGCCTGGGAAGGAAGGCCAGGAGGGCTGGCACAGCCTGGAGCCCCGGCGGAGGCAAGGTCAGTGCCAGGAGTGATCCAGGCCGGACTTTTCCGCAGGCGGGGAGGGGAGGACAGGGCACGTGCGCGCTGGTGATTCAAAGCGCTTTATCAATTGCTCCATTTATAAATGTTCAGATTCTGCCTGGAAAAATTATCTTAGCAAATCTGCAGAAAACAGCTCTTCATTTTAGGCAGAATAACGGGTGACAGTAAAAATATTTCCCTGTGTCTTTCAGGACGTCTTCATTGAGCTGGTGGTACTTTTATAATGCAGGGCGGCATAAATATTATTGCGCAATGCGCTTAAACTTGATAATGGGGTCGTGAACCAGTGGCTTGTGCCCCCTCGCTGGTAAGGAGGGCGAGAGGCACGAGGCTGCTCTCGGGATACGCGGCCTTTCTGCTCCGCCGCCTCCGGGAAGCTGCGCTGTGCGCGCCACGGGCCGGAGGACCTCGGGCCTCAGGGTCCCTGGCGTCCTGCAGCCCAAGCGGCCGCGGCGGACCCGGCCCGAGGCTTCGCCGCGGTCCCAGCACTACGGCAGAGACTCCAGCCCGGAGCCTGTCTCCGGGTCTTCAGAGCAGCCGGGCCCGCGGCGGGAGCGGCGCCCGCTCAGGGTCGTCCCTGGGCCGCGCGAGTAAAGGTGTGGACGGCGGGCGCGGGAAGGAAGGGACCGGCCGCGCCGGGGCCGCCGCGGGCCAGGGACCAAGGGGGGCAGCTGGGGGTGCGTGTCGGACGCCCAGGGATGCGGCCCTCCAGTTGTTGGGCCGGGCGCCCGAGGCCCACAGGTTCACCGTCCAGGGGCGTGCAGCGCGCTGGGGCGGCGTGGGAGGCGCGGCTCTGACCGCGCACCCGGCGTTCTGCGCCCGAAAGCAAGGAGCCCTCGGGGTCGCGGGCCCCCGAGGGCGACCAGTTCTTCGGGTGAGAGGAGAGGATGCAGGCCCCGGCCCGACCCGAAACGTAGCTCGTCAGCACCGCAGCCTCCCCGTGGCCCGGGTCGCCCGGCGTGGTGCTCAGGGCCTCGGCGCGCTTCGGGGCGCCCTTGGCCTGCGGCCCGCGCAGTAACGCCCAGGCCCGGCCGGGACCCTCTCGGCAGCCCCCAAACGGATGGCCGAGGAGAGCTCCAAGGCTCCCAGATAGACCCGCCCAAGTCACGCGGCTGCTACGTGTCTGAAACGAGGTTCCAACACAGCTCTGCGCGTTTTGGTGGCCGCCGGCCCGGGGCCGGAGTCCGGCGGCCCGCGCGGCTGTGTGGCCTTGGGCAAGTCCCTTCCCCTCCCCGGCGGCCGCGGCCGCGCATGCTCAGGCGCGGGCGGGCGGCCAGCTGCTTTGCATTGACGCCAGCGCCCGCCAGAGGTCACCGCTGGGGGCTGGGCGCGGCGCGCTGCCGGCAAGACCTGGCCCGGAGCGCGGAGCCGGAGCCGCCCGGCCCGCAGCTCCCGGGGGAGCGCAGCCGCTCCTGAGCTTCTCGACGGCGCGGACCAAAGCCGGCCGCAGCCCAGGTGCCTCCTTCCCTGCGTGGGCACGCGCGGCCTCGCCGCCCCAACGGGCCCATCCGACCGCTGCGCCCCCACGGCGAGCGCGGCGTGGCTGTACTGCTCCGCCGCCGGCGCTCGGGCCGAGGGCGTTCACTCGCGGGCGGCGGCCCCGGCCTCGGGGCGGCGTGGGGGCGGCCCCGGAGGCAGCAGCCGACGAGCGGCCGCCCCGGGGCGCTCTCCCCTGGGGGTCGCGTCGCCGGCGGCCGGGGCGGCGCTGCGCGGGCGGCGCGGGCCCGGCGGCTCCCGGGTTGGAGAGCGCAGATCTCCTCCCTCGAGACTCCCCGGAAGCGTGGCGCGGCCGAGGCGCGCGGCGGCGTGAGGGAGGCGGCGGCGGCCCCCGCCCCGGGAAGGGCATGTTCGGAGGGGCGGCCGCGGCGCGCCGCCCGCCCCAGCGCCCCCTGCCCGCCGCCGCCGCGCCCGCACCGCGATAAAAGGGGCGGCCGCGCTTCCTGGCGCGAGACCCGCGCTCGCCGCCGCCGCCCGGCCAGGCGGCATGACACGGCGCCCGCGGCGGCCCCGAGGCGCCGGGCAGGCCTGCTGAGCGGATCGCGGCCGCCCGCCAGCGTGTCCGCGGCTCCGCCGCCAGCATGGGCTGCGCGCCGAGCATCCACGTTTCCGAGGGCCGGGCGGCGCACCCCGGCGGCAGGGAGGCCGAGGACGCGCCGGGCGGGCCGAGCCTCCCGCACGGCCAGCGGACGACCGCCTCGCTCGTGGCCCGCGGCGCCGGCCTCGTGGGGTCCGAGCCTCGTGGCGGCAGCGGCCACGGCAGCAGCGAGAAGGTAGGAGCGGCGGGGCTCTGGGGCTGCGGCGTCCCGGTCCGGGGTGGGGGGGGGCGGCTCTGGCGGACGCCAGGAGCGCGGCCTGCCGGGGTGGCGTCCGGAGGGGACCGGCCCGCGCCCTCGGGGCTCCGGTCGGTGGGGCTCGCCGAGCCGCGGCGCCGTGCCGGGCGTATCTGACGTCTCGGGCCGCGGGGCCCGCCGTGAACTGGTGAGGCGCCCGAATGGGTTCCGGGGAGCGCGCGCGCGGAACCCCGAGGACTCCCTGGCGTGGCCCTGAGACGTCGTCGGGGTGAACTTTGTTCTGGGGGTTCTCGTGCGGGAGAGGGAAGGGAGGGCGGCTAGAACTTGACGCCGGCGCCCTGGCGCCTGCCACCCTGTTTTGTCTTCCCCGTGTCGGCTTTGCACGCGCGTGCAGTCGCCCTTTTCCAGTTTCTCGGGACTGTTGAAATGCAGTCTGGAGCAACATCGGCTTTGCTTTATTGCACACGCATTTGAGGTTCGCGTTCATCAGCACGCGTGCTGTATTGAAAGCATATCTAATGAGGATATATTATTAGACAAGCGAGTTTTGAAGCATTCGGCAGAGCAAGGTTAATTTTTTATTAAGCATTCTTACTGGGACACTTCGTGACTTTGTAAAAATTGCTTGTCTTCTCCAGCGCGTCGCATTGCCTTGGCTTATGTTTTGACAAAAGTTGCTGGGCTGAGTCCTCATTAAGGTTTTCTAAAGGGAACGTAATAAAAAGAAAAACGGGGGAAATGTTCATTAAGGCCCATTGCAGCAGTTTTCCAGTTCTCTGATTTGGAATTTTAGAGCTGAAATGCATATGTTTATGTTTTATTAAACCAGAAAAAAAATTCCGGTGCCTGTGGCCGCCGGTTGTTGATCATCCCTCTGGTCGCTGCTGCTTTTTAAGTCATCTGCAAGATTGTCGTGGTTTCCTTGCTTTCTGAGGACCGCTTCACCTCCCAAGTTTGAGGGATACAGTTTGGTTCAGTTTCTGTCTTGAATTTCTAGCAGGCATCGTGGTAACCTTTTCTATATGAAAGTGAAGTCTTTCATTCAGTGTTGCTTAACAAAGATGAACTGATTTCCCTTCCCCTCCCCACGTGAAAATTTAACTCTGTTCTGATGATCAGAAGTTGAATTCCTTTTGCTATAGATTCTCTGAAAAAACCTGTGGTTTTAGACTATTAACCCAAGCTGCTCTTAATACCAGTGTAATGCTGATACATGAAGCCTACCTAACTGGATTAAAAAAAACAAAGGCATTACATAGGTGAAGTTCATATGGAAACTTTAACATCTGTCAAGTGTCTGACCCAAAGCTAATACTGGTTATCTTGCATTAACCAATACTAAACTTTTAGGTCACTGAAGTAGCCACTTTAGAAGGAGGCCCTTGTTTTACTGGCTTTTTTGTGGCGGTGTGGGTGTCCTAAAATTCACCTAGGTGCCTCGTGTCTCCAGTGCAGCTATCCACAGTGTCTGTAGGCCCGCTAAATTTCTTGGAGTCCTAAATACTCTGTCCTTTTGCCAGACCATTGTCTTGAGCTGGGGCCCAGAAAAATACATTTATCATTACAGTGCCAAATCCAGTGGCATGCATATAGTAGGTGCTAAATAAATGTTTGTTGAATTTGCTTTTTTTACTGTTAACTCAATGTTGGAACTTTCTGTCACTGAAAGTTGATTCCCTAATAAGCTTTAAGATAATATAAGTATATCCAAAGGAGACATGATATTATAAATAACAGCACCACAACCACAGAAATAATAGTCCCATGCTTGTTATTTACAAACTGTACTAAGGCAATGAATTTTTAAAAATTAAGATATTAAATATACTCTAGAAATTTAAGAATACATGTTTAGAGAAGCAGATAAACTTACAGCCATTTAGCAAAATCAAATTAGTATCTGGTAGAGTTCCTTTACATGAACATATCAAGATCCAATTTTAGTTCATTAAATTTTTTTTCTTAAAAATACGGTAAGTCAGCATATCACTGAGTACATTTCAAAGAGAAATTCACTGGTGGGAGTTTCTGTTTTCCTGTAGCATATAGTAAACACCAGTTCATCAACACTTGGGAGACTGGTAATTAATTGCATTTTCAGATTAAACAGTGCATCCCCTGCACATTTAATATAGCCCATGTATATTCCCTGAAGCAGTTTGTGGACTGTTAATATATATCAATGAAAAAAGGATCCATGTAAAAATAAATTTGGGAAATACTGGTTCAGACTAAGCTCAGCAGATTTCTTTGCTGCAGGATTTATCAGAAAACTTAATTTCCTAAAATACACTGTGAATATCCAAATGGTGTTCAGCATGTGCAACATTTCCCATGTTTGACTGTGGAGCCCTTTTATTGAGGTATATCTTGGGTAGGCCCCATGTTAAGACATGAGTCCCAGTATGAAATAACCAATATTCAAAGTACAAGAAACGTACTTAACAGTAAAGCTCGATAAACATACTTGGCTTCTTAATGATTCCAAAGGTACTTTAGAATCTTGTAATGCATTAGGCTTGGTCATCTTTATGAACTTAAGTTATCACTAAAAATAGACTGTTTATGCATTTCAGGAGGTGTAGTCTATGTGGTTACAGATAAAGAATGCTGTGTTCTCTCTGAACACTTACAGTTTTGTTTTGAATCAGGGTGAACTTTGACAGTAACATTTCAGTGTTTTTTTGTCAGTCTTTGGATTCACTTCGTTTTCCCTTTCCTTAGCTGGGGATTGAGTTGCCCTTGAAAGATATGAGCATGGAGGTGGGAGTGTCAGAGGAGACCCGCCTCCCCCCACCCCGTTTAGCAAACACCCAGCGCCTGCTAATGATCAAGGCCTTCTGCCACCCGGGTGTCCCTGGTCAGCTCTGTAACGGTGGCGGTCACGTCTGTTTTGTTCGCTGCTGTATCCCCCCACACAGTAGGCCTTCCACAAACGTTTGTTGGATTGGAGAATAGTGTGAAACAGGGTGTAGAAGTGGAAAATCCACCCAGCCCATGTAAAGGAGAAATAGAAACCAGTTTTAACTAGAGTGGAGACTGTAGAATTTAGGTTTTTCACACATCTTTGGTGCTCTTTCAGAGCATTTGTACCCAGAGAATAATATATTTCCACCCTGGTGAGCAGAGGAGATTTCTCTTGAAAGATTTAAGGATTGGCACAGCTGGGAGGGCAGGGCCCAGCAGGTGACAGCCATGCGCCGCCCTAACCTCTGTCCCAGGCTCGCTGCCCTCAGCGCCCAGGCACCTCCCAGGTGGGCTCTCCGCTTGCCTGTCTGTAGTCTTGGTGCCTGGCTTCCTCCTTCCCTCCACCCCACCTTCTCTTGTTCTTCATCGCCCCCCTCTTCTTCCTAGTCTTTTCCTCTCTGCTTTTCCCTGCCAGCCCACCTTCCTCCACAAATCTGGCCAAACTACCCACCCGAGTCAACCAAAGTTGAGTGAGTGGTTTCTTAGCTGTGGAATAAATTTGCTGCCAGCTTTTACTGTACAGAGCGGATTAATCACTTTTCTATATTGCCCTAAACTAAAGCAGATTTCTCCGTGTGTGTGGCCTGATTTTTTTGCCCCACTTAGGGTCACTGACTCTTGGTAGATTGATTATATGGTATTACTGAGTTTCCCTGTAAAAGTATAGTTGAGAAAATGAGACTCAACTCTCTGTTCCTGAAATAAGTTGACCATAATTTATCTCTGGTGCTTGGGGCAGAGTTCTCTTACCATTACATTCTTAAGCCACTTGATGTATTCCAAATATAACAGAGAATATTATCTTGTCAGGCCTAGCTATAAGGTACTGCTTTTCACGTTTTCTTGAGTTCCTATTCAATACATAAAATGCTTTGCGTTTGTACATGTATTTTTAGTGCTTCATATCACCACCACCAGAACGGGTAAGTGTGGTTCCTGAAGGCAGATGTGATGAGTGTCACAGCTCTTAGCTCAGCGCCGCCCTGGGCTGGCCTTCGCCCTCTGCACTGCAGTGAGGGTCGGGATGAGACCCGTGGTCCCTTCTGGCGCATATGTCCCCTGTGAAGTGGCCGTGACACTGGTTTTCCCTTGGATGGCCTGTGTATTTGGCTTGGGTTCTTCAGTGGGGAAGGTTTACGACATGAGGTCACGAGGTGAGACAGACATCTCAGAATAACCTGAAATGCTTTACAGGACAGAATCTTCTTAAAAATTAAAATAAAAAAAGTCACGGAACAGAGGGAGAAGTTGCCTGGAACATGAGTAACCCCTTGGCCTTGTCCAAGATGATTGTGTTCAGCCTGGTTTCTCCGTACAGTGAGATGGTAGGAGGCTTTGGACCTTGAAGATCTAAGAGTTCAGACTATTTACAGTAATAATATCCAGCGCCTTCTGTGCTTTCTGTGTTGCAGGGAGCGTGCTGGATGCCCGACAGATGTTAGTTACGTCATTTAAACCTTACAGCCCTGTGGGATGCCTGGTATCATTTCCCTTTTGCAGATAAGGCCGCAGAGGTTGGAAACTCACCCTCGGTCAGACAGTCAAGCCAGTATTCAAACCCGCCATTGCTTAGTCTTATCCCCTGGGTGGTTGCTGTCAGTTATCTCCATTATATCTCCTATTCTCTAGCTTTCTGCTAGGCTACAGATGTCCCAGGTCCCACCTGGGTTTTAATCCTGAGTCAGCATTATCCGGATTTTGTTAATTCTTGACTTTCTGGGGAGCTTGGTTCCAGCCCTAGCTTAGGTTTCCCTGTTTGTGGGAGCTGCAGCTGTATTTGGCCCTGTCCCAGGTAACTCCTGGGGTCGGGCATTGGGAGGCCCCTAGTCGCTCCTCTTTGCTCTCTGAGATGAGTTGGCAGGCATCCCTTGGGAGTCCTTCCCCCTCTCCCTTCCTCCTGCTCAGGCTGCAGGTAGCCTTGCTTAGCCGGGGGCGCCCTGGGACCTGTTCTTCCCATCAGCCTTACCCGGAGTGCAGCTCCAGCACCCGTCCCTGCCCCACTGCCCTGCGTG